CCTTAACCTTTCCTCCAGCAATGACATGGGGTGTCTCTTGCATGGAGAGGCACTAAGTGTTGACTCGTCTTGCCTCTCTGCAGGACAGACAAGAGAAGATCAGCAATCTAGTACATGGCCTTCCCTTTCCTGGACTGCTTCTCAGTCCTTGTACTGCTGTTGTCCTTTGGTTTCTGCTCCTGGTTTCTGGGTCCTTTAAGCTTATCAGTTAAGAATGGAGTTAACCGGCTTTGAAAATGGCAAACCAAACTCCCCTTGAAAACAAGCTAGTGCAGTGAACCTTCCTACAGGCCTTTTCTATTGCATCTTCTGCCTGGGTTCCTCACAGCAGTAGAACTCTTCTGCCCTGTTAGATGTGCTGGGAAGCATCTTGACTAGCAGCCCAAGCCCCTGGAAGAGCTTGCTTTAAGTCTTGGCCAAGCCACTGGATCAAAACAGCTTGAGTGGGGAAATGGATTAAGCATTCTCCTCTTCGCCTTCAAGCAAAGGTCAAGGAATGAGGAATAGAGGCCATCTGAAACAGAAGGGACCCCACAGGACTGTCAGAGAGATACTTCTCTTGCCACAATTTACTCTTCCCATCAAGCCATACTCCAGAGTTAAAAGTTCTCAGCTTTCACTTATACCCTGGCTTCCTCAGAAAAAGAGGCCCATACAGCCTTTCAATGTGCCTGCCAACTGTTTCCCCAGCACATGCTCCCCAGAAATTCTGGGACCAGCTGATGAAGACAGAGGTATTGCAACAAGGAGGACAAGTGGTCACAGGAAAGATCTGCATCTTCTCAGAGCAATCTTTGACAGCCAAAATGGTGGAGACATATCTCCACTGACTTCAGTGGCTCTCGCAGCATCTCCAAGCAGCAGCAAGTCCTGCAGCTGGGGCTGAATGGCCAGAAGAGTCTGCCTACCTTGCCTGGGCTCTTCCTGCATGGTCAATCCACTCTCCAGGATTGGCTCCCGTTCATTCCATGAGCACACACAGCATCTGGCACAATAGGCCCCTAGTCTGAGCAGGGGCTTCTTGGTACCACTGACATAAATAACCATGATTAGCTCTTCTAAATGAGCATTCCCATCGTCTAATAAATATCGTAAAAAAGGAGAAATGAGACTTAATTCACTTTTATTGTCACAACTGACATGTTGCAAGATCTTAATTGGACTGAAAAGAGTTTCCAGTAAGAAGATGCTGTTTAACTAACTCATTAGCAGCTGCTTGACAGAAGAAAGATGCTCCAGTTTTAGGAGGTGAAAAAGACAGATAGATCCCACCACCCCATGCCCACCTGCCCATGCCCCACAGTGCATCCCCCTGATAGGCCCAGGAAGGGACCCATATTGAACAGCATCTTTAATTCAGGCACAGAGCAGACAGTGTAGCACACACCAATTCAGACATCTGCCACGTGTTCCCTTTCACCAATCCACATCAGTCAATAGTGACCAAAAAAGGAGCTGCAGGCACCTACACTCAAATTGAAAATATTTTGAGTTCTTCTCTATTCCCATTCCTATGCACTACCTACTGGATATTCAAAGGTCTCTGAACAACAAGGGCTCTTTGCAGGCTGTGCTTCAGTCTCTTTACCACCACCATTTCCACACTTGGGTCCTCATAAGGTCTTGGGAAGGAAGGCAAGGAGTGTAGCTCCTCACTTTTCTCCCAGAAAGCAGAGGGACAGCTTTGCATCACATACGGAAAAATCAATCAATCCAGGGACTGAATTAGATAAAACATCACCTCAACAAGGCAAATTTTCCAGTAAATTCCGAAACCCAGGGGCTGGAACAGAAGACACTGAGTAGCTGTCACTGCCACCCCAGCATCAGCAGCAACCGAGCATCTCGGACTCGGACAGACAGACAGCTCTGTGCCAGTTGCTCCACGCAGCATATCTGGAGCAGCGCCTGGCTGGTTTACTCGAGCTCTCTGTCCCAATGCAGATAAATTTAGTTTTCTGCTCTCATTGCCTGGGGAAGAGTAGGCAGGGGGAGCTGACATCTTTCAAATGAGACCTTAAAAATAAGCTGAACGCAGGTCTGGACGTTGAATCCCAGGCAGAGCTTTGTCTAGATAAAAGAGCTCGCTCCAACACCATAACCAGGTTGTACCCTAACCAGACTGCTAACCCAGCCAAAATCAGCTGCACTTCAGTAGCATAACAATCATGACTAGCATTTCTTGTTGTGCCTGGGATGCTGCAGGGGTGCCACCACACCATATGCTGCATACACACATGCAGCAACAGTCTCAGCTCTTCAATCTGTAAGGTCTTCACAGGGATCTGGAGGACAAGGGGCCAGAACAGGGCCAGGAATAAAAGTCCAGATCAAGCATCTTCTGTGACCCATTCCAGTCACTAGCCCAGCTTTGCTTCCAATGAGACACTTGCTTTCCCTGCGGCTGAAAGCTGCTCTGTAAAGGCAAGTAAGCATTTGATAAAGAAAATAACAGGATGAATAAAACCATGTGTTTGTACAAGAAAGCTTTTGCTCTGATCTTTAGTGCTGCAGTATGTTTTGACCTACAATTGCAAGACTCAGCTACATCTTCCCTCCCTCCAAATGTGACAGAAGGCAAAAAGAAGCTGCGGCTGATGCCGCAGAGCCCTGTGCTGGGATTCCAGCTGACAAACAGCATCAGCAGAGCTGCCCACACATACATGGATTAAAACCCATACCCTCTGCTCTCCTGTCACCTGCAGGAGGAAGTGCATACACACATATATACATACATTTGGGCCTGATTCTCCACTCAGACACTTGGTGATATATCAGCACCCTCCAACAGGTTTGTATACAAGAAGAAATACACCCACGACATATATTTCCTAATGAAGGCTGACATTTACCAGCTACCACAGATCCTACATTACCAAGAATAAAACTTACAGGCATAACCATCTCTGCTTGGACAGCGCTGTTTTCTGGGAGCGAGCCGGCAGGGTGGAGGTGGGTGTAGACTCCAAACAGTCTCAGTAGTGATGGCATGCAGAAAATGCAGGGACTGCACAGCCTCCCAACATGTATGAGGAGCTGAGGCTGGGTTTGCAAGTGGCATCTGCTCTTGTCCAGCATCCAAGGGGAGGATCAATGACTCTAAGTGGCCTCCTTAATCCAGCCTCTCCAGGCTGTCTGGCTACTACACAACCCTGTTGACTTATCAGCTCTGTGTTGATAGAGAGAGAAGAGGGCCACTTACCACCATTATCAGAGGCTCACAGAGTGATGGAGACCCCAAAAAGCACTATCAAACTGCTGGCATCTCACCCAGGACAGGATTTCAACTCAGAGGTTTATTACAGTGAGTTTTTCCACCAGCTCCTCTTCAGCATGGGCAAGCTTTGAGCCACACGCAGACTAAGTGCACTTTACAATAGACTCCAAAACCTCGCTGGACATGCCTCATCTGATTTACTATTGCTGCCAAGGAAGGTGGATTTATTCCCAAATTTAGCAGCTGCCAAATCAATGTGAGAGTGTTCACATGGGGATTTGCCACAAGCTTTTGTTAAGCCAGGGCAAGACTTGCACACTGAGCAGCCCTTTCCCTGAAAGGCATCAAGCCCACAGCAAGCAGTGGCCTCACTCCATCACAACATGAGTTGCTCACAAGGTCTCTCACTCCTGATTAAGTCCAGTGTCAATTCCGTTTGAAGTTGCTCACCCACATTTCATAGGTGACACAGTGACACACACACACACACACACACACAGTATGCTAGAGATTGGAAGGGACCTCAAAAGATCATCTAGTCCAGTCCCCCTGCCAGAGCAGGAACACCTAGATAAGGTTACACAGGAACGTGTCCAGGCGGGTTTTGAATGTCTCCAGAGAAGGAGACTCCACAACCTCCCTGGGCAGAAAACAAGCAGCAGACAAGGAAAAGAGGTCAGTGCTCCAAATTGTTCTTCTAAACTTCAACCCTAGCTTGGCATGCAGGGTGCATGGCAATGGGTTTATTTTTCAGTGAACAACTTTCCTTTCTTCCAATCAACTCTGAGACAGTAAGAGGTGGGTTTCAACATGGCATAAATCTGCCAGGAGCATATCAAGGCTTCTGAATAACAAGAGCAGAGACAACTGTCCAGTGGAAAAGAAAAAAAGGTCAGAGCAGTAACTCTTGCAGTATTTGTTCCACAAACAGAGAAGGTTTATACAGCTTTTCTGGGCAATTATTAGGCAGGAAATAAATCTCAAGAGAAACTCATCTTCTCCTGCTTTGCAGCTGAATCTCTTTGCCTCACGCCCCTAGCAATGTCCCCAAAATGCTTTGCAACAAGATGTCAGTTACACAACCCAAGGCTGTGCCCCAAGAGCCATTGGAGAACTGTATTAAATTTAATAGCATTGCTTCAGGTAATCTACGACCGCTTATAATCAATTGTCCATGCCCACTGCAGCATGACTATAGCCGTCTTCCCAGGGCTGCAGGTGCAGGACTGGCAGAGAAAGCTTCTGCGTAGGCTGGAGATGAGAGCGAGCTCTCTCACAGCCTTGAGCATATGGAGAGGCTGCAAGGCAGCCAGCTCACCCTGTTCCATGCCCCTGTAAAGCCAGGGTTCAAGGTCTCTTGGTGGACTGGAGAGCCCAAGCACAAGCACACTAACTGCAAAGAGTCTGTTATCCATGTCAGAAGAAAAAACAGCAAGGAAAAGCCAGTCTCTTCCTTTCGTATAAAAGAGGCAAGAAAAGGATCGCTGTCTCTGTTTTACACAGAGGGAAACAATGAACAGGGAAACAGGAATGATTTACCCTCTGCTGTAGCAGAGCTGGGAAATGACCAGCATCTCCTGCAGCCTCCAACACCCCACTCCATGTTCTGCAGTCATTCCATGGCCCAGGACTCACTCCAGGCTCCTCTGCAGCTCTGGGAAACAGAAGCAAGAATGGCCCCAGGTACGGGGCCAGAGCTGGGAGAGCCAGGTCAGGCAGAGGGGAGAGAGAAGGAATACAGAGCAAGGGGAGAGCTTGAAGAGCACAGCTTGCTACTCCCACCCTTGCCACACGGGTGGGAAATGCTATCACATACACCTCAATGCTTCCCTCTGTGGAAGCGGCAGGAATTAGCTCAAACCACCACCAAAAGCCGAAGAGGAGGGGGTCCTGAATTCCAGGTCAGCTGTTGTTATCACAATACTGGACAAGTTCAAGCAAGATCTGGGTCTAGCCTCTATTTCTGGCCCACAAAGCAAACCCAGACTTCCCAAGATGAGGGTATACTTGGATTCATAAAACTCCAAGGAGCTACAACAAACGGGTTGCCTGATTTCTTGCTTGGACCTTTGCTGAATATGGTGCTTGCCTTCTACCCTGTATTTTCTTGCCAGCTCTGATGAGGATGGCAAGAGAGAAGAGCTACAAGACCTCAGTCTACATGTGCTGCATTTCACAGTGCCTGGAGGCAGGAAGACATCCCTAGCTCTCCAAGTCTTTCTCTCTTCTCCTTGAATAAAAGTGTGTTGAGCACACACGTTGAGTAAAACACGGTTAGGAGAAGCCAAGTGAGCTTGGTCCCCCCGGGAGCTGCAACGACTTCAAGGAGAGGTCAAAGGCACACAGCAGCTGGCTCCTCAGGTAGTGTATCACCCACACTGCTGTTGGAGAGCCCTCAAGATTTTTCTTGAGCCCAGGCTGTCCGTGCAGCCGGTGAGTGACAGCCTCCAAGCCTCCCTCCTTCCCTCCTTTCTCCCTTGACATTCACAGAGAAAGAAAATACCTGTCACATTAGCATCCAGGAGAGACAATATATGCTGGCACAGCCTCTGAGACAAGATCTCCACCTAGCATCATGGTAGAAGCCCTGGAAAAGGCAGCGTATTGAGCCCAGCATCCCCATCACTCAGGCACTGAGTACAGCTAGTTGCAGGCACAAGGTAGCAAGTGTCAACTCTGTGCAGGAGCAATTACAGCTCTCTCCAGCAACACTTTTCTTCACCAACCTCTGAGCTCTTCTCCAGCCAAACAACATGGCCCTATTTCCACACATGTACCCTCCACGCACACTGACTGCATCAGAGGGAACAAAGTCCTCACTCTGCATCCTCAAGCACATATAGGTAACAAGCTGAGCATCAATAATGCTGAGCTCTTTACCAGCAGCTCCCAGTCACAGCAAGGGACTCCCATCACATCCAAAAACCCTGGTACCTCCCCAACCAACAGGCAGTTGTCTGGGCAATCAATCCCACGCTGATTTCATCACATGGAGGGGGGGGAAGGACAGCCAGAAAACTACTGTCCAGCCTGCTAAAATGGCTGGTCCCCTGAGGTCACCAAATCCAAGCCACTTTCACTGAGGAAGCGATAAGAGACAGCAGGGTACTAAGCTGTCCACTTCAACCCTGTGTTTTAATCTCGGAGCTTCTCCACAGCTTGGCATGAAAGGGAACAGTACAGCCTGCCTGTACAGCTGCTGTCCTCCTGAACAGAAACACTGCCATCTAGAGGCCCCTTCCCTTGTGTGTGAAAGGGCTCGGGAAAAGGGGTTTCCACCCTCCCCAAACACCTGTGCGGAAGCAGAGAGCTGTCAGCGGGAACAGGGAATCTCAGGTTTAGGAATGCAGCATGAGCTAGGCGCCAACACTGGATAGAGACCTATAAGGGATGCAGCCTCATCTGGGTCTTTCTTTTCTCCTTGGGAGAACTTAGGCTGAGAAAGTTGGGGCTGTTCAGCCTGGAGAAGAGAAGGCTGCGTGGAGACCTCATAGCAGCCTTCCAGTATCTGAAGGGGGCCTATAGGGATGCTGGGGAGGGACTCTTCATTAGGGACTGTAGTGACAGGACAAGGGGTAATGGGTTAAAACTTAAACAGGGGAAGTTTAGATTGGATATAAGGAGGAAGCTCTTTACTGTAAGGGTGGTGAGGCACTGGAACGGGTTACCCAGGGAAGTCGTGAATGCTCCATCCCTGGCGGTGTTCAAGGACAGGTTGGACAAGGCCTTGGGTGGTATGGTTTAGTGTGAGGTGTCCCTGCCCATGGCAGGGGGGATGGAACTAGATGATCTGAAGGTCCTTTCCAACCCTAACTATTCTATGATTCTATAACTTCGCTAGAGCTATGGAAACGTTCCTTCTGCTTTGGTGTGTCTGAAGGCTTGCTTTTGCCCTCAGCAGCCTCAGCAACTTCGAAGTCTTCCCTACACCCACGGGCAGACCATCCTGAGGTGACTGAGCTGTCCCACAGGGAGACACCAGTGGAGCCTTTACTGAAGAGTGTGTTAAACAGAGACAGGCTTAACAGCACCTAGCTCAGCCACAGATCTCAAGCCCTTTCTGCACACAAGGAAGTGCCAACCCAAAGTCCTCTGTAAAGCTGGGCTCAGATCCAGCAACCTCCACTTTGAACCAGTCTCCTGTTCCACAGCAGAGACATTCTCCAGAAGCTTTATCTGGCCCATGCTCCCCTCCAAGTTAACAGCCTCTCAAATGATTCTCTGTCTTCATCACACAAGACCAGAAGGACAACAGGCCACATAGTGGCGTATCAACCAGCACCTCCTGATCAGCATAGAAAAGTAGGTCCTCCAGCGAGGAATATGGTTCGCGTGGCAAACAAGTGCTCCCTGCATGATTGCCCATGGTGTCCTCCACTGGCACATTCACTGCTGCAGAGATCACACCAAAGGCCCTGGGAATCCCAGCCCCAGGAATTGTGATGGACAGCACAGGAGGCTGAACAACGTCTGCAGGTGGTCATGCAGGCTGTGAGAGCAAAGAGCATGCAAGCACAGAGATGTTCCCTCTGGAGCCTCAAAGGGAGCTGAAACAAACACAAGGAAGAGGCAGAGCATGGCAGCCTCCATCCTTTCCAATGACACATTCACCAGCAGCCAAGGCCCAGCATTGCTTCTGCATTTCCGATGGTGGCCCTAACAGCAGGGACAAGCTGGACATGAAGCTGGAGGTCAGCAAGGCAAGGAAAGTGGAGGGCTGGGTAGGTGATGTGACAAGAAATTCAGCTTCAGAATTAAGCTGAATTACCCTGAGGTAATTTCCTCATTTTGGGTAAACTGAGCCTGGCTCACTGAAATTGGTGGTCATAGATTGGCTTGCACCAATGAAGAAAAGGAGCTGGAGCATGTAACCTCCAAGCTGAAAAAAACCCTCAGCCTTACAGAGCAGCTCCCAGGTGAGATACAGATCTCTGAAGGATGGCACTTTAGCTTCTGGTCTCACCCTCCAAAATCCCCACTAATAGCAAGGGCTGTGCCACTATTCAGTCATCACTCCAGAAAGTGGCCTAGACACCCTTAACTGCTCTACAGTGAGTAGATGCCCCATTGCAATCTACCATGACATGACATGGTGTTAGGTCCACCTTTTCAAGCTCACCTGGGAGACCTCACACAGTCTGCAACTTCAAGCATGTCCTCAAATCCAGACCAGTGCTTAGTTGGGAAGCTTTTGTCAGCAAAGATTAATTTCTGCTGTTTGCAGCTTTCTACCTGAGCTACCTTGGAGCTTGAGCTGTCTGGGGAGGAGAAGACAGTAAAATCCCCTGAATGTGTTGACCATAAAGAATGTCTGGTTGGTTTTCCTGCTGTCCTGTCATTTTTAAATGGGTGAATAACCAGAACTACTACAGAAAAGAAAAAAATGCCCACCCTAAGCCCTGGAAATCTCATCAAGGAAGGTGAGACACTAGAAAAACATACTTGAGCATGGGTTTTAAGAGAAGCATTCTAAATTAGGGCTGCTGCATGCCAGGCAGCCATTAAGGTGCTTGCACAGGGAGCCATGGTTAGTACCCATTAAAGGGTGAGTAAAAAGGTACCCCAGGATTAAAGCTATCGGCGCCTCTGAGGACCAATGAAGGGGAAGCTTCTCAGCAGCTTATTCTTCCTCTCCTCTGCCATGAGCCGGCTGGTGATGGATGACCGAATCCCAACCCTCCTCTCCCGCAGCACATCATTTGATTTGCCACAGACATGGGGCTGGAGGTCCCCGGCAGCACTCTGTACGCCAGGAGAGGTCACCGTCTCTTTGAATAACGTCCTCTTGGAGTGCCAAGAAGTGACATCAAGCTTTGCCCCTTGCCACCCCCCTGGCATCACAGGGACGCTAGTCAGAGTAGGGGTTACAGGAGGTGCGTTCCCTGCCATCTCTGGCTGCCCATGCATGATTTATACCTGCTGTGTCAGACGGACATTTACATACGCTGGTGTGATTGCACATGCTGCCTCCCATAAGGGGTGGCACAGCTTATGAAGATGGGTAGGATGACTGGTCTGCACTGTGCCAGCCAAAGACCTCCCCCATCCCCCCTGACAGAGGACAGCTAATACCCTCCTTGCCCCACCAGCAGTACTAGGCTTGCCCACGGGAGATTACTGTTTGCAAAGAGATGTTTGCAACAGCAGACCATCTCCTGGGATGCCGCTCTGCAAGGGAACATGCTGTGCAACTCAGATCGCTCAAAAGGTTCACTGCTGAGATCCTGAGACAACGTGAGAGGCAGCAACATGCCAGCACAAGAGACACAGCCAGGATGCACATCATATGGAGGACACTTGCCTCCTGACATCCCTTTCCCAAAGTTCCCATTCCACCCCAGCACCGGCTTGCAAGCCTGCCTTCTGCTCTCTGCCCCTGCTTTGACAAGCACAGCTGGTCAACAGATAGCAGATCAGACAAAGAAGCAATGGCACATGTCTCACAAAGCCAAGGAAGAACAGCTGAAACACACAAAAGAGAGACCCAACTGCAGGGAGAGTGCACTACAGTCAAACGGGGCACCTCTAAAGAGCAAGGAGTCCCAACCGTTCCAGGTCATGGGTGGGAAGCTCCCCCTCTCCCAGCATTTGCAGTTTAAATTACTGAAAGGCCTTAATTTTAAACAACCCTAAAGATCCTGTTAGAGCCTGGGAAAGGGTCTACAGCTGTGTTTTCTCCTTCTTCCCCTCCAAACCCCTTCTTTGTCACTGCTCACCAGCCCAGACATGAACATACATGAGCAGCCACCTGCAAACATCACAAACTGCTCTGGAGCCAGTTAACACTTATGGTGGCATCTCTGCTGCCCTCCTGAGCTGGCAGGACCCAGAAGGGGTTGAGGGGTATCACTGCAAGGCTCCCAACCTGAAATTACAAACATTGTCCCACCATTGAGTCACTCACCACAAGATCTTTTATCACTGCAGCCAGCTGGGACTCTCAGTAATTTTCAGCTGCAAACTCAGCAGACAGGGCTGGTGCTGCTCTCCCAGCCACAAGCTGTGTATTTGAAAACCAATGTGTAGATAAGGAAGTGCCCCGAGTGGGTGGCAAGGGGGGGTATGTTCATTTGTCCTTGGCAGAACACCACCACAGCACCAGCAAACACAGCTCTGAGGGCAGAGGAAAGCGCTGGCAGCTACAAATTACTAATCAATGTCGGGTAACAACAACAGCAGCTAATAATGAAGGGCTGATCAGCTTACTACAGCAGTAATTATTCCTGACACCAGTCCTCAGAAGGAGCATCCAGGCTTAGCACGCTGTCTACCATGATGATAACCCAAGATAACTAGAGAAATTTTGTGCTGGAGAAAAGGAGGGGGGGAGAGAAAAAACCCTCAGCAATTAGCAAGACTTGTGGTGCTAATTACCCTGTGAATGGTGTGCAGCTTTGTCAGAGCTAACTTGAGCCTTCCCCATGACACCAGGGAGGGATGCGAAGTGCCAGCACACCTTTCACAAAGCAGCAGTGACAAACGGCTTTGGCACCTGGTTATTTTTGAGAACAACACAACTCGCTGCTGCTGACACTGAACTTCTTGATGGCACCAGCTCTTTGCCATCATGATTATCTCAGGAAAAGC